CTATTTTTCCTTTGTTTTTTTATTAGGTAGTTATACACGTAGGGGTAAGTCATAAAGCACAATGTTTAACCATAGAATGTTGTGCTCACAGTAATGGCTACACGAGAGAAGATATATTTAACAAATGTCCAGATGAGAGTAGCATTGAGCCTGAAATTTTGAAAACTGAAATCAATGTCAAACAAATCTGTAACATAATCAATGAAAATTCAGGCAGAACAGAATGTAATGCTTGTGTTTCATACGATGCAGGAAGATATTTGTGTGAATACATATTTTACAAATCTTTAGAGATTGCACCTAAAAAGACAATATTTGTTCATGTTCCAGATTTCAATCGATATTCAAGCGTACAAAATGCGAAAGGTTTATATGATATTTTATACTGTATTATGAAGGATGTGAAAAAAAGTAAATACTAAATTTTATAATATGAAAATTATAAAATAATTATAAAATAATATTTAATAAATATTAACGATTACTTAAAATATTGTAATTATTCTTCATTGTAAAAATGGTCGTTGTATATTAATTAATATATATACATGTCGTTATTTCATTTATGATCCTCCATGTTGAAATCTTGTACGTGCTGGTGGTATATTGTATCTAAGCTCTAGAAACTCTGGTTTTCTTATTAAGGAAGCTACATGACCCATTTGAATTGTACAGTCAGGATTTAAATTTGGAGGTAATAATGTACATTCCCGTTCTAAAATGCAAGCTAATCCTTCTAGGAGTTCTACAAATCCCATTGACGCCGCAGCTCTACGCAATCGATTTACTTCCTGTAATTCAAAAATTTATAAATAGGAACATTCATTAAAATTGTATGGCATCCTTTTCTCCTCTTTCTATATCTTACCTTATAAAAGTTCTGAGTTTTTTCAGGTAATTTTCTTGCATGCCTCAAAATTTTCTGAATATCTGACTGCAATCCAACTTGGCGAATCCAAGAAGGTGCATTTTGAGTATAACTCCTTTTTTCATTTGGCCTAACTGGAAAAGTAACAGCAGCACCTTTGGCTGCATCAATAGGACCTAAATTGCTAAAATTACCTAACCAAGGCACAACATCTAAACCTGGTTCTAATACTGTTAACATTAAATTTGATTTTTTTTTTGTATCCGCCCATGAATATATAAAGCCATACCATTCACTATTTAATAAACAAAGAGCTACCATAGTTTCAACCTATAAGAAATATTCATTCATTAATTTCTACACAATTACAAAATTAAATTTATTACCTTCAAAGCTCCATGTAATAATACGCAGAAAGATGGTACTTTTCCTTCGTCTCCGTTTTCATCTGTATCTGAATCTTCTTCTAAAGATATTCCTTGCATGCTTGGAGTCTTTTCTGTGGCCAATGGCAATACCAAATGTCTAGATATAGCACTAGGACTACCAACATCTGCTACTGATATAAACCCACATATTTCAATGGTTTTTGATATCATTAAACCAGATACTAATTCAAAATCTGTCTTCTTAGTGTATGGCTAGAATAATATAATGTTATATAGAATCTAAAGTTTCATTAATTTTTTTATTTATTACTTACCATAGGCGCTGGTGAAAGAAGAATACGGGAACCTAAATTCCCACACTTCAAATATCCTTGAAAAGATACATAATTAGTTTCTGATAATTTTTGAAAACAGGCTGCAACTGAATGTTTTGACAGCGGTGCTTCAGGAACTAATACTACGCTATCACCACCAGCAAGATCAACTAAACGTTGATACAGCGGTAAACCAATATGTAAGCCAACATCTAATAAAACATTCAAATTATTTAATATATAAAACTGAAGGCTATTGAAGTACCATACAGTCATGTTTCAATGTACCTTGTTGTGACGCGATGCATATAACGCTTAATTTTCCTGGATAAGGAAAAGGAAGTGGAAATGGATTTACATCTCTTATCACATTTAAAGAATTCAAAGAGTCACCCAAAGACATTGGCCCTACTCCAGGATTACCATCAGTGATTAACACTACTTGACAGGCAGTAGTGTTACCCCATTCTGCCATAATGACATTATTAACACCATGAAGTGCAGTTTCAATGCAGGTCTTATCGCATTCTTCAATGTTTTGTAATTTCGAACGTATACTATCATAATCACGAGTGAATGGGCAAATAACCTCGTACAATGACGAAAAAACAACCTAAATTGAAAAGACATCAGGCATGTAATACGGAATCATTTATTATTACAAATAGACTTACTAAAGCCACAAATTCCAATTTTGAGTTCGCTTGCAAGTAATGTAACAGCGCGTTTATTCCATGTACAGCTAAATGGTGTCTTGTTAATTGTTCAGTTTGATTATTTTCACTAGTTCCGCTTCCTAATACTGGACGTCTCATTGATAAAGACACATCTAAAGCTATAACCGTCGGCATTTTCACGTATATAACAAACAAAAATCTTTGTTTTCTTTACATCAATGCAATATTTCTCCAGATTTCTTTGAAAATATATACATACAAGTATCTACTAAAAAATAATCATTGTTCAAAAATTTTAGGTTAGAATCGGTTGTTTACTTGTACACATTATATATATACATCATGCCGTACTCAGGCATACACGATGTACATTATTATAAGATGTAAATATTTTTTAAATCATTTATTTATAAGCAATAATAATTGGTAATAATTTAATTTTGTTTTAAATATAATTTTATTTTATTAGTGATCTAAGAATTATTGAATACCCCTGTATAAATAAATACATTCTGTAAAAATAAACTGTGAATTTCGTTAAATTGTTATTTAACATGGAAAATTGTAGCCAATTTGTGACTGATATTAATAATAACAAAATGGTTCTTCAATATCTCGATATTTAACAATTAAACAATTCCTTTGTTACAAATAAAATTTAACATTAAGTATAATTCATCTTTTGTGTTAAAGAAAATTATATTATCTCGTACATTATATCGAGTCAATCGTGCTTTAAACATTTATCCTGTGATAATATTCAATTCGATCATTCTCATTTTATAATAACTTATTTGTATTGATATTTGATAAACTTTTATCATAAATCTATGAAAGATCTTATGCATAGGCTCTTGCGTCGATGATTTTTGAATATATACGTCATCAGCTGATTGCGTACTACGTGACCAAAAGAGAAGAAATTCGTTGTTTGTAGCGATTTAAATCGATGTATTTATCATGCGTGTTTGTGATCATTTCAATTATTTCAAGTTAAATAATTAAATTGAAATGCACGATTTCACTGTACTTATTTAACGTACTAGTTAACGGAAGAGAGTTTAATATAAAATGCGTTTATATTTTATCTGTACAATTATTTCTTTATATTGTTTTCTATCTGTAAAGTCGTGGCATTTAAAAAATAAACAAATATCTCCCGTCATATTTGGTAAATATCTTTCATTGTGTGGAATAATTTCATAACGTATAATTTTGGACATTAAAGTTGATATAATTATTACATTGAAAGTTCCAGGCGATGGTGGCAGCCAAGTTGAAGCAAAACTCAATAAAACTTCTGTGGTACATTATTTGTGTGAAAAGGTTTCCCCAGAATATTTTAATATCTGGTTAAATTTAGAATTACTCGTACCAGTTATCATAGACTGTTGGGTAACTGTTTTATATTTGTACATAAAATACTCTATATTTTTTATATTTTTAATAGTACAGATTTCTTTAATCTGAATAAATAATCCACTGCGTTTCAGATTGATAATATGAAATTAATTTATGACAATGTTACAAGAACAACAAGAAATCAAGATGGTGTTGATATACGTATACCAGGTTGGGGCGATCCATTTGTTGTTGAGTATTTAGATCCAAGCAAAGCATCTCCTGGATCATACTTTAAAGATATTGGAAATATGCTAGTTAATGAACATGGATATATTAGAAATCATTCAATACGTGGTGCACCATATGATTTTAGAAAAGCTCCTAGTATGTATAATTATTATTAACATTATTTATTTATATAGTGTACAGATCATAACATATGAATTTTATCATGATCCAGAGTGAAATTTTATTCTTCCTTTTTTTTTTTTTTTTTTTAGATGAAAATGAAATATTTTTTAATAAACTGAAAGATCTAATTGAAGAAACATATGATAACAATAATCAGACCCCTGTAACATTGTTAGCACACAGTATGGGTGGACCAATGACACTTATATTCTTACAACGTCAATCTCAAAAGTGGAAAGATAAACATATCAATTGTTTGATTACTCTTGCAGCTGTTTGGGGTGGCAGTGTTAAAGCTCTTAAAGTCTTTGCAGTTGGTATGAGTTATGCCTAATTCATACATGTATACATTATATTTATATTTGCATTATTTTATAGGAGATGACTTAGGTGCATATCTTTTACGCCAAAGCATTCTCAAAGATCAACAAATAACTAGTCCCAGTTTAGGATGGTTGTTACCATCACGATTATTTTGGAAAGACACAGAAATATTGGTACAATCTGAACAAAGAAACTACACATTGCTCACATTACAAGATTATCTGATGTAAGACACGCTATGGACATTAATTAATCAATTAATGTATTATATAATCATTAGCAATATTTTAGTAATTTGCTTATATTATTATAAACGATACTTATTGAACATTGCAGAGATATAAATGTTCCAAATGGTTGGGAATTTAGGAAAGACAATGAAAAGTATCAATTAGATTTTACTGCTCCAGGAGTTGAGGTACATTGTTTGTATGGAAATAATATAGATACAGTACAAAGGTATGTTAATTCTACTTTTGCTCATTAGTATAACATTACTCTATAGTAAGCTTCATCGAATGTTTACATATCAATTGTTTTTAGATTGTATTATAAGCCTGGTATATCAATAGAAGGATCTCCACAATTAATTCCTGGTGATGGTGATGGTACTGTAAATTTAAGAAGTTTAGAAGGTTGTAAGTATTGGCAGGGTAAGCAGAAACGGAAAGTTTATTCTCAAGTCTTCCCTGGTGTAAATCACATGGATATTCTTAAAAATAGTAATGTCTTAAGCTATATTAAAACTATTTTAAAAGTGTGATATTATTATTATTATTAATGTATAGTATAGCTGTTAATGTAATTGGTAAATCAAATATTCAAGAAAAGTAGTAAATTGTACAAATATGATATTGATATTTCGCGATAAGCACTTACAGAATAATATTTTAATTATGTGTACATATATACAACAATTAATATATTTTTCATTAACTAAATATTAATATTAAAAAAATAATAATGCTCATACTCGTCTGCAACTACAAAGGAACAATATCATTTTTACCTATTTTATATTTCTGAATATTAACATTTTGTTCATTTTTTATACACACACACACACACATATATATATATTGTATCTGATATAGTTATTATATACGAGTTATTAAAAAATGCTATTTTTATTCTTTATTACAATGCATTTTTTTTCTATTGGTACAAATTACATAATTATATAATTCTTGGCATGTGATTACATAATTACATAATTCTCCTACCTATATAATAAAACTTAATCTGTCTTTAAAACCATAAATTAACATTCATCAACATTGATTTCTTGCAATAAAATTCTGATAAAAATCAACACAACAAAAAAATATAACTGAAAATGTATAAA